CTGCTGCCAAGTCCAGATCCTCATGGTCCCTGAAACCCTCCCATTGCTGCGCCCATCGCCAACCTGCCATGTGCCACTTTTGGGTTTCTCTTCACAGCTTTTTTTTAATTTTTTGACACTCTGCCATGTGCCACATTCAGGTCTCTTCACACTGCTGGTGTGTTGAATTTTTTGACATAGGGTGCTGGCAGATTACGGGCCTCCCATAGCTGCTGCCAGGCCCCTAATCTGCCATGGGCCCCTATATACCGCCTCCTCATGCTGCTGCCAGGTCCAGAGTCTCTCATGGGTCCCTGTAACGGCCTCCCATTGCTGCTGTTTCCATCGCCACACTCTGCCATGTGCCACATTCAGTCTCTTCACACTGCTGGTGTGTTGAATTTTTGACATGAGGGTGCTGGCAGATTACGGGCCTCCCATAGCTGCTGCCAGGCCCCTAATCTGCCATGGGCCCCTATATGACCGCCTCCTCATGCTGCTGCTGCCGGGGGAAGTCCAGAGTCTCTCTGGGTCCCTGTACGGCCTCCCATTGCTGCTGCCAGGAGGCAGCAGGGTCGCAGCAGTGTCAGTGGAGGCAAACGGCCACGGAGTAGAGCACCAGCTCCACTGCAGCCTACCACCACGGCCAGTAGTGGTGCCGGTGTGCACGGAGGAAAGTAGCAGTCAGCCAGTGAGGAGTAGAGGAGGCAAAGTTTCCTACTCTGCGGTCTGGCAATTTTTCGTCAAGCCGCCCGAGGAAGTAAACGTAGCCGTATGTCGACTATGTGTGGCCAGAAAGTCAAGCGTGGCCAGGGGGCCCATGTTGGGACTACAGCGTTGCGTCAGCATATGCAGCGTCGCCATTCGGTGGCCTGGGAAAACCGTGATAAAGATACGGCGGTTCTGCCTGCCCCAGCCCAGGGTTCCATTTTGTCATAGGGTGCTGGCAGATTACAGGCCTCCCATAGGTGCTGCCAGGCCCCAAATCTGCCATGGACCCCCGTACCGCCTGGTCACGCTGCTGCTGGGCCCACAGTGTGACCTGGGTCCCTGTACCGCCTCCCATTGCTCCCACTCTGCCATGTGCCACTTTGAGGTCTCCTCACACTCCTGCTGGTTTCCATTTTGTCATAGGTTGCTGTATGGCCTCCCATTGCTGCTGCCTCCACCGCCACACTGTGGCTCCAAACACTGGTTTTGGCCCCGTGACTGGCCAAATGAGTGAAGTGTGCGGTGATTCTAAGATCGACGGCACTCATCTGCATGTCATACTGAGTGACAGTATTATTTCTCTTCCCCAGCAGACTCCAAGGGCATTTAAATTAAAGGTACAGTGTTCTGCACTAATATTAAGTCTCTCTCTGAAGCCTAGAAACACCCTTTTTTAAGTTAAATTCACAGCGAATTTATTCGACTCGAATCGAATATTGTCCACGAATTCGCCGAATCAGTCGAATCAAATTTTTCATTTCTTCGCTCATCTCTAATTGTTAGCCCTAATCAAAATAACAGAAAGAAGAATATATATGCAGAACCACTGTTACTTTTAAAGTGGTTGTAAAGGCAGAATTTTTTTTTTCTTCATGCATCCTGTGCATGAAGGTAAAAAAGCCCCCTTTATACTTACCTGAGCCTGATCTCGATCCAACACAAGATGTACAGTATACAAGAGCAGAGGCTCTCTCTCTCTCTCAACTGAGTATGCACAGTACTGAAGCTGGCTCGTGGCCATATTTTTTTATGGATGGCCACTGTTCGTAACAGATATTTACGAACAGTTTGTAAATCAGCCCTGAAGGAGGCATTGAATTATCCAAGGACATTAGGGAGTGAAGGCCAGTGTGAGAGATCCCAGTGACTGTGTGCTGCTGCTATCCTTCTTGTACTAGAGTCAGCTTTACGTAAAGGAGAAATTGTTATGCATCTACTGGGAAAGAACGTCAGGACCAAAACAGAAGGTCCTTTAAGGGGGTGCAAATTACATAGAAAAAAACCCCAGAACAGCTCTACTAGCTAGTATGCAGCATGTAATTCTTAAGCTGATTTAGGCCTGGTTAACTAATTGTGTTTGGCACACAGCTTTTCTTTGTGTCTTTCTTAATTCACATTTACCTGAGTGCTTGAGTCTTGAATAATTTCCCAGGAAACAGATGGGGCTTGTGTATTTTGCTTGGAGGTCTGCTCTGAAGACCACACATAAAGATACATTTGTTGAACATTTTCTGGATCTCATTTAGATATCTGGGGAAAACTCTCATCAACAGGAAAAAGCAGGCTATTAGGCAATCACAGTGGTTTGGCACTGCTTCCTTGGTGCACTAGGGTACTTGGTACAAATCCCAACCAGGATACTGCCTACGCAGGAGATGGCATGTTTTCCGAGTACTTGAATGTTTTCTCTCCAAGCTCAAAAGACATGCTGGTAGGTTTACTGGTCCTAGTAAGTGTATGCATGGGAGATACAAACAGTAATGATAAGCAAACAGACGGTGCACTGGCCTAGTGCATTATCCTTTAAAAATGTATTTAATGTAAAAAGGTAAGTATTATTCTCACAAAGTCTTAAAAAGGTACAAATACATCTCATGAGTACAGCACAAACAATCCGTAAAACATCAAGGTGTACAGAAATTATGGAACATCTAGAGGCTGAAGCGTTTCAAGGACTTATCCTCTTCCTCAGAGTCTATCAAGCTAATAGCTGTTCCTGGACTAACATATTGTGTTGAATTAAAACCACCAACCAATACAGGGGTGTCTCCAGACCGCCTATGGGTGGGGATTAACTCTGTGCATCTCAAAAAACCAAATGGTGCTGCCCCTTTAAAGGTGAAATAGCATGCAAGACCACATGGAAATAACACCACCATCCAAATGTAAGGTATAGACGAAAAAACCCCCCACACAACCCCAACCAGATCAATATTATGTAATATATAAGTAAAACGACTACTGGGAATTTTGCACACAACCATCTCTAGGGTTTACAGGGAATGGTCCAAAAAAGAGAAAATATTCAGTGAGTGGCAGGTGTGTGGACGAAAATGCCTTGTTGATGTTAGAGGTCAGGGGAAAAAACATCCTGATCACCTCCATAGAGTAGTAGTGTTACTATAGTAACACTGTATTGCTCTGGTCACAGTAGTTTAAAAAAATCATTAAAAATTAAAACAAAAAAGGTGATAAAAAGAAAAAAAAATTTGTAAAAAACAATTACAATAATTTTTTTACATGCTGTCATCAATCAGTGTCCCTGATCACAGCCACACCAGTTATATGATGACGCTGCACTGCACTTGTGACCAGTGGCGGACTGACAACTCATGGGGCCCCTGGGCAATAGGGGATCATGGGGCCCCTGTGTCCTTGCCCAAACTCAAACAACACACACATACACACACACACACACACACACTACCACCGCCATTATAATCTTCCATTGTCAGAGGGGATGATCAGGGGTGGACTGACAATTCATGGGGCCCCCGGGCAATAGGGGATCATGGGGCCCCTGTGTCCTTGCCCAAACTCAAAGCTTATGAAAAAGGTACCAGGGGCATCTCATGGGGCCTGCATAAAAGTGGCCACCCGCCCAAGTCTATAACTGGCTTATGAAGCAAGGACACATAAACAGGCATCACATAGTGAAAAAAAGGGGGAGAGAACAATGTTCTTGGACAACTTGCCAGCCAGCTTGCTAACAACCAAATTAACCTGTCTAACAGTATGCGTTTATAACAGGGGTTTAGTTAGCACACATTTGCAAATACATACGTAAGCCACAGAGCCACGACACGGCACCCTGATCATCTGTGGTCCTAACTCTAAAATTTATGAGTCCCCATAGTAGAGGCACATGCATTTAATGGATAGATCAAGGGCAGGTGGACCTGAGGGAGCCACCCCTCTTAAAGGCAAAGGAGTGCACTGGACCCCAGCATGTAGCACAATGGCAACCAGGGCCCTAGTGCACCCACGTACCAAAAACTCAAACATGCATAAAAGTGGCCACCCGCCCAAGTCTATAACTGGCTTATGAAGCAAGGACACATAAACAGGCATCTCATGGGGCCCCCTACTGACCCCGGGCCCTCGGGCAGTGCCCGAGTTTCCAAATGGTCAGTCCTCACCTGCTTGTGACAGTATGTTAAAAAAAATATTAATTTGGGTATAGTGTTGCATGATCACGCAATTGTCATTCAAGTAAGACAACACTGAAAGCTGAAAACTGGCCTGGGCAGGACGGGGTGAAAGCGTCCAGTATTGAAATAGTTAAATATGAATGTCTATATGTCATGGTGACAATTGTGGACGTCAAGAGGTTCCTAGGGGTCAGATTTATGGGTAAAGCAGAGAGCTCCTTCAAGCACACTGTGTAGCAGATGCTCTGTGTCTACAATGGCGGGATGTGGACGGCGGCTGGCTCTGCATCTGGCTGGAAACATTTGGCTAAAGTTGAAATGTGTCCTTACCGCAAACTTAATTACTAGGGTTTCGTAAACTCCAAAGTTCCCTTTCCAACGCCAGTCTGGAGCCACAATATAGACACAACTAGATGCTTTTGCACTCAAACTTGTAGAAGGAATTTTGAGCAGAAGCTGAGCATGCCAGGCATTTTATAAACATTTCCCATCTCTGAAACAATGCGTGTTTTACTTGGTGCTGGAGGTAGCTTGTGGGTCCGGCCGTGTATTAGCTAATTGTATTTTGTCAGTTGAATCTATAAACTGAGCGAGCTCTGTGTGCTGGCTGGAGTGTCTAATGGCTGGACCACCTGAGGAGACGGAGCTGAAAGGTAGCAAGGGAACAAGAGGATGACGTCAAGGATGCTGAGCTTGGCAGGGAGCCAGGGAACGATGCCAGACAGCCGATTTCCACCGCATTTTTATATTCTCAAAGTTGTGCTGACCTAACAGCCTTTTCAGCAGCAAAGAAAAGCATTTGCTTGTAAATGAAAATTCTACAAAAAAATTTGCTAAAAACTGATAGGAAATGTAATATAATTAAAGCGATTCTAAAGGTCCTTTTTTTTTTTGGTAACTTAACAAACATGTTATAAAAGAAGTGAATTGGTGCTGCGTTACTCAATGTATGAACAATAAAACATAAAAAATACATACATCAGAAAATGAATGCACATATGACCCTCATTCAAGTGTGAAAACAACATATGCAAAACACATGAAAAAGTGCAGACAATAACAGATATCAATAAAGGCAGCACAGTGTGCTAATACTGTGCTAGTGACTGAAGTGAACACAAGGAAATAATGATAATATCATTGATGTGTTAATGTGATAAAGTGAATAAGTCCCAAAAATGAATAATAACAGTCCCAAAAAAACAGGGAAAACACAATGAATCTTCAACACATGCTGTGAAACATCCATTAATGAAAATATATAAATAATACTCCACCGACTAGCGTGCATGCGACCCCAAAGGAGTCATAAAGCATAAAGAAACCTCAGACGATGATCCCAAATAGATGGTCCTTGATATCAATCAAAGAAAAAAGAGTCCTCTCCAATGGGGCTGGCCAGGGGCGGACTGACAAAGTCACTTAAATCCTCTTTCTTCCCCCCATTCTGATGCTTAGTTTGAACTTCAGCAAGTCATCTTCACCACATCTAGATGCCAAAATGCATTGAATTGCTGCCATGTGATTGGTTGATTAGCAGTTTGTGTTACCAAGCAATTGAACAGGTGTACCTAATAAAGTGGCCGGTGAGTGTACGTGAATCCCATCCCACTCCTCTCTGCCCCCCCCCCCATCTAATTTTTGAGTTATTTAAAAAAAAAACCCTATCTAACCTCCTTCCCTCCCCCCCCCCCCTTTCACTTACCATAAAGCAGTACTAAAAGCACAAATCCTCACTCCTCACCGGCATTGGCATCTTCTTCCCAGCTTCTTCTGGGTACCAGTGTTCTGCCATCTTGATTGACCAGTGTGGGATATGAGGTCAGGAGCTCAGTCATCCCCGTACACAGGTAGTGTGTCGGAATGAAAAACTGGCAGTTTACATTTGAAGCTGTTACCTGCTGTGAATTTTTAAAACCCCCATGGGCATTTAAAATTCTCTACCCTCCAACCAAAGTCAGCAGTACTCCTTGTCCAAAACTCTCTAAACATGCAAGCCCACCTCACCTATGTTTGGTTCACCTTTTCCCAGAGTCCTTTTCAGCATCTGCCATCTATAGGTGTACCATGCTAAAAGACTG